CGTGAGCGAAAACATAAAATAGGGCCCTTTAAAGACACTCTATGGTTATAGTAAAAAACAAATTAAATTTGTCTATATGCCACTCGTGAAATCATAACTAACATGCATGGTATATAAAACATCGAAAACTCCAATAAGTACAAAGATTCTATTCATATCATGTAGTAAAATTCAATTTATATGTTATGATTTACAAATAAGAATCTACTTTATAGTTGTATGAATAACCTTAATGGATCACAAAGTAACTTAAAAACAATAAGATCAAATTGAGTAATGGCAACCAAAAGCAACATGATGGTCACTGTTTGCAACATAGTAAACCAATAAATATCAGCACTGTAAAAATCTCGATTAGGTTCCCAATAATTTCCGATTAGTCTTTAGATGTTACCCGACCGACTAGAAGATATCTAACAATTAATCCATACCTACACAATGAGCAAAGCAGTAGCAAATATTGAAATTTTAACAATTTGAAGAAACTTTATCTCAATAGAAACTATTTTACGAATGATTAGTGTTGTATTAATCAAATTAATCTATTTTGTTACAATACTAGTGTAATTTACGAGCTTTGTTATGATATTAGTCATATTTAATTTTTTGAAATTCAACAAATTAACAATTTAGGGTCTGCGATTAATTTCTACTTAGCCAATTAATTTCTTAACCACAGCCCATCGACTAGCTAACGAACGTTTTTTTTATAATCTTGATAAATATCAATACGACACTAGGTGTCATGAAAACTGTTAAAACACCAACCATCATAAAAATGGTAGAGTAATATAACATAAATAAATTAATCAATGTCAAATCTAAAAGCATATAAGTCTTGCCACTCAAAAAATAAAATAGGGTGATGCTTGTTAACAAATGATTTTTCTTATATTTTTATCGAGTTGTCATATGTCTTGCTCTTACTAGTTTTTATGTATCTATTACATAGCTTGATGGTTATGCTTTCTATAAGGGGTTTACACATGGTTCTAAATGTCACGCCATGGTGTGAGACGTGGCTACACCATTTTGAAAACAGTGCATGTCAACGATGTTATGTGTGACACACGCTAATACGGGTCAAGGCGTGCAAAATCGCGTTATGATGCAAGTTTTTTTTAAGGCACTTTTTTTTTCATATTATACATTGATTTTTTGTTTGTTATTAGGGGTTGATATAACTTTTCCATTATATCTATATATATCTATAATATATATATATATAATATATCAATATATATATTATATCTATATATATATATAGGGAAGAGTATTGGAAAACAAAAAAACCCTAAAAATCATAAAAATGCATAAAAAAATACCAAGACATCACACAAACTTTTTTTTGAATTTTTTTATCAAAAATCGCTGCATTTTACAATTCGCTGAAAAAAAAATAATCAATTTTTTTATTTTTTGAAAAAAAAAAAAAATTTCCAAATTTTTTTCAGCGATTGACCTAAAAGTTGCGATTTTTGATAAAAAATTCAAAAAACAGTTTGTGATCTCTAAGTATTTTTTTTATGCATTTTAATGATTTAGGGTTTTTTGTTTTCCATATCATATATATATATATATATATATCTATATATATATATATAATATATATATATATCTATATAGTATATATATTATCTATATAATATATTAGGTGTTACCGCTGTTAAGTCTTTGGGGTATTCTAGGGATATTAAGGTTGAGTGTTGTTTTTGTTGTTAAATTATACTTTGTACACATAAATGTTCGAAAATTTTGAAAATTGTCAAAAAAAATTTGGATAACTCAAATTCGCCATTTGCTAGCCATTTTAAGTAGCCATAATTTGAGTTTTGTGGATCATGCAACATTCACCACTTGTTGTCCACTTGGTCATTACTTGAAATGACAAATTTTGACTGAAATGACCACTCAATATGACACAAATGGCTTTGTTTATCCATTCATTTTGGTGAGTTGTAAATGATTTGTTAACAATCATTCTAATCATCATAATTGTAGAACCACAGTAAATATTTGTGTCTCATAAGTTTACTTGTTTGTGATTTAAATCTGCTTTGTCTTGGTATGTGTGGCTCTCATTATTATACATCGTGAATGTATTTTCTCATCTTAGTTTGTTATTCATTTCGTTGTTAGGTTTTACATATATTGTTAATGTAAATATTTATGTCTTTTGATTGTTAAGGTAATCGCAAGGATCCGTCATAAGATCCCAACGCATCATGTCTCATCCTCTCTAATAAATAAATGTGTTTTTTTGCCACTTGTCACACTCTCATTTAATTTGTCAAATGTCATTTGTCATAATTTTAAAATATTTATTTTCCACTTGTTCTTTAATTCAATTTTTATTTTTCAATATATAATTAGTTTAGTTTCTATAAATTAAACATACCATAATGATTATATTAATTTTAAATTTCAAATTTCAAATTTCAAATTTAAATAAATTTACAGTTGAAACTTTCGTATTTAATATTTTGTTATAATTAATTTTAATTTACTTTTTTGCATGTTTTTTTTTATTTTTTTTCTTCATAATTTCAAATTCAAATAAACTTACCGTTTAATAATTTGTATTTAACATTTTGTTTTAATTAACCCGTATAATATACGGGTCTCACAACTAGTGTTCAATATGTTCGAGTTCCATCATGTCTTGAATCGTTATCATTCTTTTTTTTCAAAGTTTATGAATAACTAGGCACTAGCATATGAATAACTAGCATATTAAAATTTAAATAATCTCAATTATAAAATATTAGATAACGATTAATAACAAATCACTAGCTTTTTTATATTTTACGCGTAAAGGTTTTATCAACTAACCGTTAAATAAGATCAGTTTTAGTTTAGGTTCGGCCGTTTGCTTGGAACAGTAGGGGTGAACATATTAACCGAAAAACCGAACCATGACTAAATTAACCGATATAACCGAACCAATTTAACCGAACCATTACTAAAAGATATGGTGTTGTTTTTAATTTTGGTTAACCGAATACATATGGTTCGGTTATGGTTTTCATCTAAAACCGAACCACTATAAACCCAACCAATAATATTAATAATTTTTTTGAGAGAATTTTATATATGTCCTTACAAAACCTATAAATTACGTATATATCCTTATAAAAATTAAAATTACATCAATATCCTTGAGAAACTTGTAAACTCTCATATATGTCCAAATTATTATTTTAAACGTAATTAAACTATTTAAATATTATAAAAGAAGTACATATGAATTATTTATTAATAAAATTATTAAAATAAGTTTACCATTTTGAAAACAAATATAAACAAAATAAGTCTCTTGTAAAAGGAAAATCATCGACAGTGTACATATAGAGCAGAAAACATAAATCGACAAACTGCAATTGATTTTCAAATATACAATATAATAAGGGAAAATGACTTAGGAGGGTAACTACTTCTTATCTGTGTTCACATATTGGCAACTTCTTCTTTTTTGTACATAAGAAAACAACTAACTTGTTTTAACTGTTTAAATTACACCAATATTACCGGCTAATACATGTTTTAACCGGTAACTCAAAGGGAAAATGACTTAGGAGGGTAACTACCTCTTATCCGTGTTCACATATTGGCAACATCTTCTTTTTTGTATATAAGAAAGCAACTAACTTGTTTTAACTGTGTAACACCCAAAAATCATGACCAAAAATTTCGTTTTTAATTTAATACTAAAACCATAATTGTCAAACCATTAATTTAATACTCCGGCATCGGGCCCCGCCTGGCATCGAGCCCCGCTCGGTATACAGATCTGTCTCGCTTAGGCCCCGCCTGTCTCCGGGCCCCGTCCGCTAAACACATACAATCATATAACATGCTAACACATAAAGAAACATACTCTACTGTATCTCTGTCCTAAGAAACATACTCTGCTAATAATGAGATACAGAACCTCGTCCGTACTCAGCTAGTTCCAGCCAGGGCTTCAGCAGTGCAATGTGAGTCTCCTCACTGTGTGAATGGGTCTAAGGCCACAATGACAGCCCATGTAGTCTATGAGTAGGAAGACCCGGGGGTTAGCCCTAGGCATTGTATGCTAGTATGTTATTCCGGACCAAGGTCCGATGCCGGGCAGGTGCCCAAGGAATGTTTGCATGTTAGATTATACTTGTTGTCTGTGTGATACTTGTATGTGCCTGGTAGGGAGGTGAGTGTGGGCGAGGTCCCGTATCTCATCACTAGCTGAGTACGGACGAGGTTCCGTATCTCATTATTAGCAGAGTATGTTTCTTAGGAGAGGGATACAATAGAGTATGTTTCTTTATGTGTTATCATGTTATATGATTGTATGTGTTTAGTGGGCGGGGCCTAAGAGAGACAGATTTGTATACTAAGCGGGGCTCGATGCCAGGCGGGGCCTGATGCCGGGCGGGGCCCGATGTCGGAGTATTAAATTAATGGTTTGACAATTATGGTTTTAGTATTAAATTAAAAACGAAATTTTTGGTCATGATTTTTGGGATGTTACACAGTTAAAACAAGTTAGTTGCTTTCTTATGTACAAAAATAAAGAAGTTGCCAATATGTGAACACGGATAAGAGGTAGTTATCCTCCTAAGTCATTTTCCCTTTGAGTTACCGGTTAAAACATGTATTAGCCGGTAATATTGGTGTAATTTAAACAGTTAAAACAAGTTAGTTGCTTTCTTATGTACAAAAAAAAAAGTTGCCAATATGTGAACACGGATAAGAGGTAGTTACCCTCCTAAGTCATTTTCCCATATAATAAAGTCGAACTTCCTATCAATCAAGTTTATTCATACTTATCATTTGTCAAGAAATCTTGAGTTTCAATTCGATGAGCTAATGGTTATGGTTCGGTTTTGACCAATAACCGAACCAAACGGACCCATACGGTCCCTATGGAACAACATATGAAATTACGATTTTTTTTATTTCTTATTATATTTTTTAATTGTTAATATATACCCTTTTTGCATAAATGCCCAACCGAACCTTCGCTTTCCGAACCTCGGCTTGAGGTCCCGTCATACTCGAGCTTTTTGCGATGGTCACACTTTCTTCTCCCTCATAAAAGCACTTTGTCAGGTCGATTGTTGTGTTATGGTCCATATTAAACATTAAAACTGAATCTTCAGGAAAGTTCGTTGGATTTTCATCCGTTTTGCGGAGTTTATCTTGTTCTTGATCGGACAGTGTGCGTTGAATTGTATGCAATTGTAATAATCGACTGAAGTTTAACTTTACTGCAACTGCGTTTTTTCAGAATTTCGGGAAAAAAACTCAAAATTGATTGAAGATAAAAGTTGCGTATTGAAATTCGGAAGGATTTGGCATTTTTAGTAGCAGAGAGTACGCGACTTCGTAACCTTTGGTTTACAGTTTGAGTATTAGGAAAGTAGCAATTAGTTTTCATTGAATTTAGCTTAATTGAGGATCATGGTTCGTGACTTCGTTCGGTTTGCAATGCAGGATTTGTTCTACCGGACTACTGGTATGCTACGAGGCGGTTTGATGAGAAAATATGGAATTACTTGCAGTAAAGTTTATTTGTTATTTAATTTTAATGAATTAACGCGAATTGTTTTTAATGATTTTGTAGAGATTATCGTGGAGAAGAATCTCGACTCACCGTTATAATTAGGTGTTCTGAACCAATCATGTCGCAGAATTGGGAAGCTGATAAGATGTATGCAATGCTTAATCTTTGACTTCGTGTTTACGTATTGTTTGCTGTTACTTATTACCAATTTTAGTTATTCAATCATATGAACGGGTTTAGTTGATCAGGATAGTAAGGGCGTGCTTGGTTCATGGATTCCAATGGAATCTGAAGGAATTGGAAAGAGAAATTCGATTAAAAGATATCAAAATTTCAGTATGTGATAGTCTGAGATGATTTAACTTCTATCAAATTCCTTTTTGCTAGGCTGGATGTTTACATCCACGACTATTTGTTAAAACGGAAGATGCACACATCCGCAAAAGCTTTCATGACAGAAGGGAAGGTTGCTACAGATCCTGTAGGTATGTTGTTGAGTTGTTCTTATGTGTACAATCTGGGCATCCTTTATAGATCTAAGGCTTTTGATGATCCACTAATTGGTTTATTTCTATTTTTTATATTGATGATTGGAGCTTCAAAGGATAATAGAAACATAGCATGATTTTAAAGAATCATTCTTATGCATGCAGCACACCAACAGATATATACATGTTATACACATGATGCATGCAATGTGAATTTGAGTCTGTTTGAGTTTTCAAATTTCAGCTATTGATGCTCCTGGTGGATTTCTTTTTGGAATGGTGGTCTGTCTTCTGGGATATATTTATTGCAAGGACAAATGAGAAACATTCTGAGGCTGCTGCATCATATATAGAGGTCTCTTCTCTCTGACTTTTCTTGTTCTTGTTTTTATACTAGACATTTTCACTGGTGAAAAACTGGTTTCACTTTTCTTTTCCCATACTTTATCTTCTTTTTCTCTTATTCTCAAAAACCAATGTCAGACACAACAAATGAAAGCAAAAGAGCATCAACAGCAGCTGCAAATGCAACAGCTGCATCTGATGCAACAAAGAAATGTTCACTTACAAAGAAGGGATCCTAATCATCCTCCACTTGGTGGCTCTGTAAATGCTATGAATATGAATGGTGATGGGATGATGGGAAAGCCATCAGCCAGTAGTAGTACACTTGGTGTGAAGTTGCAAGAGGAACCCATGAAGCATTCTCATTCTATGGTTTCAGAAACATCTCCAGCTCTTCTTGATTCCAACAGGATGACCCTTATGAAATCAGCCACAAATCATCAAGGGTAAATCAGTATTTTCATCAATGAAGATGCTCCTTTTTTCCTTTCTCCATAGATTGGTTTGGTCTTTAGTTCTGTTTTTACGTTGATTCAGCCTGTTGATACCAGGCAATTCTCCGAATGTATCTTCAACTTTGCAGCAAATTCAAGGGAGACCTCAGTTGAATACAGTATATTTCCAACACTCTATAAATATATGCTTTTCTTATTCTCTCTGTTCTATGTTTGGCTCATGAGCTTCTACAAATCCTAGGAGATCAAACAAGAAGTTAACTTGGGTAATACACAGAAATCCTTGCCTACAGATCCTTCATCAATTTATGGACAGGCAATTTTGCAGTCAAAGTCTGGACTGGGTGGTGTGGGTAAGACATATATTTCTTTGATTTTACTTGTTTATTTTGAGTGAATTTTAATTCCATCCATTCAGGATTGAATCAAGGTGTTACAGGTCTTCCATTAAAGGGCTGGCCTCTAACTGTAAGTTATCATGGTTTTTTCTTTCTTTCATCTTATGTTATTAATTAGTTTGAACTTTGAAGGGTAAATCTGACAATTGGTATCAACATGGTTTTCAGGGAATTGACAGTTTATGCCCCAATATGGGTTTGCAAGTACAAAAACCCAATATGCAAAACCAAAATCAGTTTTATTTGGCATCACAGCAGCAACAGGCCTTAGGAGCTTCACCAAATTATGGGGCTATTGGATTACCTAGAGGCAGTCAAAGTATGAAAGATGGTCAACCCACAAGAAATGATGGATCTGTAGGCTCTCCGGGTCAAATGAATTCACCCAAGGTTATGATTTTCCTTTTATAATCCAAATTATGCACAACCAATAAGAAACATGCATCAATTAATAATATTTTGGTTGCATTATTGCCTTGATGTTGACGTCATATAATATTATTTAACAGATGAAGATGCCTCAGATGCAACAATCTACTTCCCAACAGCAGGACCAGTTACAGCAACAGGTTGAGATTTTGTAGATGATCCCCTATTAATTGCACAATCTATTGAATATGAAATTATAAATTCAAACCATTGATTGGTTTGATTGTATGATACTTAGATAAATTATGAAGCAAAAGTAAATTCCTTAATGTGCTATAATTTAGGATAATTGAATGTAAATAAGTGATTTTTTTTTTTATAAAAATAATTATCTTATTTAAATACCATTACAAAAATGGTCCCTATAGTATAATGGGAATTACAAGTTCAGTCCAGCTTTTGATTTCCTTACATGGGAAATTCTCATGGTTTTAATTTGTTGCTAGTTTGGTCCCTCTGACTAACACTATTAATAAAAGACCGTTAAATTGCATGTAAAAAGACATTTTTAAACCCACTTTTTTTGTCAGTATTTTCTTGTTTTATCCATTTTTGTGTGTGTGTTTTTTATGTTCATCAACAACATAGTGAAACCAGAAAAATAACCAACATTGACTTGATTTTAATCCAGTCTTCCACAGAAACCCAAATTAAATCACCGGTTATTTTCATTTCCACTATACCCCAATGACCATTTTTGTAATTTACTCCAAATATAATATAATTAAAAAAAACTAATAAAAACTTTTACTTTTAAAGATAATTAGAAGAAAAATAAAATATATTATAATCAAGAAAATAGTTTAATAAAAACTTATGAGAAAATTACAAATTTGGTCCCTGTGGTATATTAATTTTTCCAAAGGTAAAATGGTCATTTTTGAAAAAATCTAACGACTCACGGACCAAAACCACAACAAAATAGGACTATGGTGATAACTTTGGGACAAAATCAAAAGTCGGACCAAAGCTGAGATTTTGAGTAAAGCAAAGGGACCAGATTTGTAATAAAAGTGTCTGTTTTATGTTTTATTGATGAATTTTGTGTGGGTTGAAAGTTGAAACTTTTTAGCAGAGTAACAGAAAAAGAAAACAACAGCATTCTTCTTCAGCTGGGCCAGCCAACAGTAGTGGCACAGGGAATACACCAAGCTCCCCAGCATCAACTCACACACCAGGGCCTGGAACTGCTGATGGAATGACAACAACAGCTACCAAAACCATCATCATGTATCCTTCTTCTGATCAGGGAACAGCTGCCATTGCCTCCTCAACAAATCAGCTCGTAAGTATTTTTTTTTTTTTTTTTTTTTTTTTTTTTTTTTTTTAATATTATATATGCAATTGGGTGGGAATCGAGTTTTGTTTCATATTGCAGGATGACATTGAGCATTTTGGGGATGTTTCCCTGGATGATAACGTGGAATCCTTTCTGCAACATGAAGGAGGAGGAGGAGATGGAAGACAGGTTTATGGTGCAATGACGCAACACAAGACAGAGTCTTCTTCCTCTAAGGGTTTGTTGTTTATTTAGTCATAATATCACTCCAGACCCGTTTGTTTGTTTTTGTGGAAAATTCAAATAAATTTATAATTAATTAACAGGTTTTTGGTTTGGGGAAGTTGGCTGTATCCGGACAAGAAAGAAGGTCTTGTGCTGTCATTTTTCTTCAGATGGGAAGTTGCTAGCTAGTGCTGGCCATGACAAAAAGGTAAACTGCTTCTTAATTGGCTATATAATTAGGTTTGTTTTTTCTTGTAAAAATCCAACATAAAGTGAAGTTTAATTACTATATTCAGGCACTTCTATGGAACATGGATACCCTACACCTACAAACAGAGACCACCCCTGAAGAACATCAGTTCTTAATTACTGATATTCGTTTCAGACCAAATTCCACCCAGTTTGGAACCACTTCCCTCGATCAATCTGTACGAATATGGGATGCAGCTAATGTAACCTTTCTTTCTTAATTTGTTTCCTTCCTTCATGTTCTTACATTTTTTTAAGTTAATTTTTGTTTTACTAATCTCGTTTTCAGCCAAGCTATTGTCTACATGCACACATGGGACATACCTCACATGTTATGTCACTAGATTTTCATCCGAAGAAGACGGATCTCTTTTGCTTCTGTGATAGCAACAACGAAATTCAATACTGGAATATGAACCCATTCCAATGCACTCGTGTTTCCAAGGTTGGTAAGGAATATTCTCATTCTGGCTGATCATTTTCTTATAATATAGCTAACCAACCACCATTAATTCTATCTTATGGGTGTAGCAGGGAGGTAGTGCACAAGTGCGATTCCAACCCGGAAGTGGACAATTACTGGCATCTGCAGCAGCTAAAGTTGTGTCCATTTTTGATGTTGAAACCGATAGACAAACGCATTCCTTGCAGGTATATATTATATATGTGATCACCAAAAAAGAGTTTTTATAATGCATCGAGTTTGAGTTTATGTTAAGTTTTAATACAATTAATGTTGTCAGGCACATATGGGAATTGTAAACTACTTGTGCTGGGACATGAATGGAGAGTATTTGGCTTCTGTAAGTGATGACGTTGTGAGAGTGTGGTCTGTGGCCTCTGGGGAATGTATTCATGAGCTCACTTCCAATGAAAACCAATTCTATTCCTGTGTCTTCCATCCAAGTTATTCTGCTCTTTTGGTTGTCGGTGGAATGCGGGTAAGTGATTTCGTTTTTATATACTCTATTAAACTTAAATGCTTTGTTTTCTACTTTTGTTGGATGGAAAGGTAATAGAATGAGTCATGATATGTTTAGTTTGGTTGGTGTATACTAATATTTGATTCTTTTACATTATATGTAAATACAAGCTGGTATACTTTTAATATTATTAGATGTATAACTATGAAATTTATATTATAGAAAACTAAAAAGTTGAACATACTAAATAAAAGCTTGTTATTATCCAAATAAGATTAAGTTAAAAATATTTGTGGAAAATAAAAATATATCTTATTTAAATTCATGAAATCTTTAGAAAAGATTTGTCTCATTAATTTTTTTTTTTATATATATATAATACTAGCTAGGTTGTATTAAAACTTTCATAATGGAATGAAAAAAAGCACCCCTGTCTAAACAATGAAAATTAACAAAATAGAAGAAATCATTTGTTCAAGATTGGTCTATAACTATTACATCCTATTAAGCAAAATAAACAATTTTTTGTTTTCATTCCAATAGAATACTCCATTGTATTCTTTCTTCGATTTTGTCACACTAAAGACCACCTAATGGTCTATTAATTTTGTTGGATGAAATGGAATGACGAAGCAATGTAACGAGTCATTCCATGAACATGTTTGGTTGGTCTATACGCTATAGTAATTGAATAATTTTTCTTATGAATTTGTTAAATCTTATATAATACAATAATAGTTTTAACATTATTCTATATATTATTTAATTTTAATTATAGAATTTATTAATCACAAAAGTAAAAGACCTAACCATAATTAAATCTCATCAGAACCCAAATAAGATTATAACAAACTTTTTTTTAGAAAATATAATTATAACGTAACTTATATCATTAAATTCTTAAAAAAAATATTTGTCATTAATTAATTAAAATAAAAACAAAAATAGGTTATATTACAACTTTCATTCTACTCCATGATGAAATGAAAAAATACCCATGCCTAAAGAATCAAAAATTAGCAAAATGGAATCAATTCCATTAGCCAAAGCAAACAACTTTCTATCATTCCAATAAACTGAACCATTTCATTCCCTCATACCAAACATTAACTAACTATCTTATTTATTTATGTCAAAAATTTGAGCTCAAAAATAAACCTTTCTACTTTCTTTGAATATATTTTGCAGTCTTTGGAGCTATGGAACATGGCTGAAAACAAGAGCATGACGGTTCCAGCTCACGACAACATAATTGCTGCTTTGGCACAGTCCCCTGTTACAGGGATGGTTGCTTCTGCAAGCCATGACAGTTCTGTTAAGTTATGGAAATAACCCAATATTCCTGCATCAATCTCATATATATATATATATATATATATATATATATATAATATATATATATATATATATATATATATATATATATAGTTATAATGTTGTATGAATGTCACTGATATTTGCCACTTCAAAATATATGGTTTCGGTTAGGAGTAGATTGTTTGTCCTCAAGTCAAACGCACCGAAATGTCTCCTAATAAGATCATACAATTTCGTGTACTTTTTTTTCCTGGGTAGGGATGACAGTGAGATGGATATGGGATATGTATTGGTGATCACAGTCCTATATCCGATTATAAAACCCTCTCCGTTAAGTACCCCGTTATTAAATGGACATCAAGTTGCGGGTATACCTGTAGGTAATGGGTATCCCAGTTTATAATCTCACTCAATAGGTTAAAATTTCTATTATCTAAAGCCTGATCACAAACTTATCTTAAAAATAACTTCAAGTTTTGAATGATTCTAATTTTAACAAAATCAACAAATCTTACATATAACAAATGGTGTATAAATATAATCAATCATAACATAAGTAGTAAAACAATGTCATCAATCTCCATTCCTCTGTTCTATTGATCTCACATTATCATCAATTCATTATTTTATCAAGTTGAGTACTTGCCAAGCGAATGAGGCGTTGCTGGAATGTTGGTGTTGCTGTTTTGTAGGATATCAGTTGAACAATGCAGTCACTAACCATTTGGCCTATCTTCCCACACCTAAAAAATGGCTTACTATCATAGGGGTTTTAGAAGATACATTAGGCTTGTTAGTTCCAACTAACTTGCTCTCCATCAAACCTCCTCTTGTTTGCTTATCTATCAGTTTTCCTTTAGCCTTTAGTTTGAAAAAACATGGAAACATGGGCATCAAGGCTTTCCTCATCTTTACTCACTTCTCTTCCTCATAAATGACTTGTCACTTTAATCATCTGTTTCATCAGAAATCATCTTTCCTTTGGACAAAAACACAAATGCAGCCTGTGACGTTCTACGAGTGCCCAATGAATTCTTTCATGGACATATTCATTTGGTTCTTGATTTTTCCATGGTTCAAAAAAGTACCATACAAATTTTAGATGTTCATATCCTTCATTTTGTCACCATTTTCAACACAATAATGATCTCTTCCCAATGAACATGAAGAAACTTGTGAAGTAACACATATATAATTACTTTTCATTATGTCTAAACTTTTCATATCATTAACCAAACACACTAAAATCCTGTAAAAGGTTTGAGTGATTGATTTACTCTTGAATGTAAAGAAGAATGCATAGTCTGGAGTTAGACTAAGATTTTTTTGTTCCTTCATATCTTGGAAGATAAATATAGTTAGTCTAAGGAAGTTAATCTATATATATTAGTTTTCAAATATGGCGGGAAGAGTTGAGACTGTAACTGTTATTGGATAAATAACCATCAATCCATGTTTGCACAATCATCCTATTTTCTTGGTCAGTTGGATAACACCCTTGAAATGATATATATAGAGTCTTTAGTTTCACTTAAGGACCTTGAGCGCCAAGTCCTTAAATTGTCAATTACTCTGATCTTCTTTGAAATATATAAACTGTTAGAGAAATTAAACAAGCAACATTAGAAGGTTTCGAACTCATGGGTAATTATGACTCCAATTACATATAAGGACATCCACCAATACATTGAACTCCATAGAGTTCAATGGATTGTCACATCATCTTTCTACAATCTATACAACTCTATCATTTTTTTTTCCTACAATGCATTGAGCTCTACAAAGTTCAATAGAATGTCACAAAATGTAATTTATAGTAAATATTTAAGAATTACAAACTTTCATTTTTCCCATTGAAGAGTTCAATGGTCATTGAACTCCAAATCCATTGAATGCCAATGTGACATCTCATAATGGTAAAGTTTCATCCATTGAATGACATATAGAATTGTCACCTCATTCAACTCTCCTATTGAACTCATCATTGTGGATGCTCTAAGCACACATAAATTTAGTGTAATAATTTATATTTCATAGTTAATACATAATATAATTTTTATTACATAATTTAACCTGCACAATGTATGGATGGATGTTCGCCTAGTATAACATATATATTTGGAGTTATTTTCAACTTTCAGATCACACTTACCTGGCATTACATTCGAATTAAAGTTAACATTCTTATAGAACTCCATGATCCAAAATGTTGTAAAATACGACGGATCCAAATTGACTTACATAATATTAGCTCAATGCGGAATGGGATCAAAAATTATCAAAGCGTAATAATCACAACGAAATACGAATAAAATAAATAGAATAGAGACACAGGAATTTACGTGGAAACCCAAATCGGGAAAAAACCACGGGCAGAGGAAGCCGAGAAACAATTCACTATAATTTGCAGTGTTTACAGGGATTATGAAAGAGATTACAAATAGAGTGGGAGAGCTAAAATATACGGTGGTGTATCAATATATATATATATATTATATATATATATAATATAATGCTTTACTATACATATATATATATATATATATATATATATATATATATAATGCTTTACTATACATATATATATATATATATATATATTTGATTTGGTTCGTGGGGTTATGTTGTAATGAAATGGGTTAGGCTATTTATAGCCAAAGGAATACCAAACGATTTGAACTACATATGTCGTCCAAAGAATTTGCGCCTACCAAATTAGAATAACAAATAGATATATATTACTATTTATGGTCAAAAGGTTGGCAATGTGAGGCGCCTCCATTTATGACCAAAATTGTTGCGCCTCCATCTTCTAATTCATATATATTAGTCAAAGTCTCCGTCCATTATTATTTCACATTTCTTATATATTACTATTCATAGTCAAACTATGAATAGTAAATGATAAGTTACGGAAATAACCCCTGAACTATTTGCCACTTGCTAATTTTGGAGGCAACTTTTCCACAATCTCCACCTTGACATCAAAATTAAGCAAGTCATGCTTAACGATTAGTCAAAACCTATAGCTCATCAAACTCTAAAACTTCCATAAGAACCTGTAATTTTATATAGAGAAAAATTGTTTCCGAAAAATAAATAATACTTCCTCCACCTACGAGCCTTCAGGCTCAACTGCGATCAGAAACACCCGTCATGTCCAAACATAATTTGAATTTGGCTATAGGAAGACTTTTAGTGAACATATCAGCGGGATTATAATCTGTATGAATCTTGTCCACAACACAATCACCTTTTTCAATGATATCCCGCACAAAATGATAACGAATATCAATATGCTTTGTTCGGTCATGAAACATTTGATCTTTACTCAAGAAGATAGCACTCTGGTTGTCACAGAAAACTGTGGTCACCTTTATTCTATCATCGAGTTCTCCAAATAACCCCTTCAACCAGATATCTTCCTTAACTGCTTCTGTAATCGCCATGTACTCTGCCTCGGTAGAAGACAGGGCAACTGTAGACTGTAACTGGGCTTTCCAACTAACAGCACAACCATTTAGAGTAAACACATACCCTGTAATTGATCTTCGTTTATCCAAATCTTTGCCATAATCTGAATCAACATATCCGAACACCCCAGTGTTAGATTTACCAAAACGTAAACACATAGAAGACGTACCACGTAAATAACGAAAAATCCATTGTACTGCTTTCCAGTGTTCTTTCCCCGGGTTCGCCATGTATCTACTAACCATGCTAACAACATAAGCCAAATCAGGGCGCGTGCAGATCATAGCATACATCAAAGATCCAACAGCACTAGAGTATGGAACACGTGCCATGTAAGCCATATCAGTCTCATTAGTAGGACTCAAAGCGGATGATAGCTTGAAATGAGCTGCAAAAGGTGTGTTGACAGACTTTGCTTCGTGCATACTGAAGCGTCTTAGGACTTTCTCAATATAACTTTTCTGAGAAAGATGCAAGATCCTAGACTTCCTGTCACGAATAATTTCCATACCTAAAATCTTTTTGGCAGCTCCTAAGTCCTTCATTTCAAATTCAGCTTTCAACTGGTCTTTTAACTTCTGAATCTCCTTCATATCTTTTGCTGCAATCAACATGTCATCCACGTACAAGAGTAAGTAGATCTTTGAACCATTGTCACCTTTCTTGAAATAAACGCAGCTATCATAGGTGCACCTGCTGAATTTGTGACTGGTCATGAAAGAATCGAACCTCTTGTACCATTGTCTAGGAGACTGCTTGAGGCCATAAAGAGATTTGTTCAATTTGCATACGTAGTTCTCCTTTCCAGGAACTGCAAAACCTTCAGGTTGTTGCATAAAAATCTCTTCCTCAAGCTCACCATTTAGGAAAGCTGTAGTGACATCAAGTTGTTCTAACTCAAAATCGTTAGAAGCAACCAACCCCAACAATACACGAATGGAAGTATGTTTGACAACTGGGGAATAAATGTCAGTGTAATCAATACCAGGAATCTGACTGTAGCCTTTAGCTACTAACCGAGCTTTGTATCTTGGTTTATCATTTGGGTTGACAGGTTCCTTGATCTTGTAGACCCATTTGCATTTAACTGGTCTCTTCCCTTTCGGAATAGGAACTAAATTCCAAGTACTGTTTCGCTGCAAAGATTCCATCTCATTTTGCATAGCGAGCATCCAATCATTTGAGTCTTCAGATTCGATAGCCTCGTCATAATTCGTAGGCTCCGTTGCGGACTCAATATTATCAGCAACAATAAAAGCATAAGCAACCAAATCAGATTCAGCATACCTCTTCGGAGGAATAATCTGTCTTCTCGGTCTATCTCTTGCAATGCTTGGAGTAGTAGCTTGTGGTTGTGAAGGTGTTGAATCTTCACCAACAACATGCTCATCCGACGAAGAAGAATCTTGATGCTGATTTGTACTCTGATTAGTGGTAGGTGAAGTAGGAAGCTCCACCTCCATTTGAGCATTCTCTTTATTTGCTTCGGATGATACATCTGATGCATCTGTTCTTTTAGAAGAGTCAGCAACTGGTTGAATTATAGCAGACTCATCAAAAGTAACATCTCTTGAGATGATAATTTTCTTCAAATCAAAGCTCCATAACTTGTAACCCTTTACACCTTGATTGTACCCAAGAAAAACGCATTTGATTGCTCTTGGTTCTAGCTTCCCATTGTCAACTCGTGCATACGCTGGACATCCGAATGGTTTTAAATCTGAATAATTGGCAGGTTTACCGGACCATAACTCAAACGGAGTTTTCTTCTCGATTGCTCGTGACGGTGATCGGTTGATAACATAGCAAGCAGTCGAAGCAGCCTCCACCCAAAAAGACTTTGGCAATTTGGAATTAGAAAGCATACACCGGACCTTCTCCATAATGGTGCGATTCATCCTTTCAGCTACACCATTTTGTTGAGGTGAATGGACTACTGTGCGATGTCGAGTAATGCCTTCCTTTTGACAATATACATTAAACTCTTCTGAGCAAAACTCAAGTCCATTATCTGTACGAAGATACTTTAACAACAGACCTGATTGCTTTTCAACCTGAACTTTCCAATTTCTGAAGGTAGAGAAAACGTCTCCTTTATGTTTTAAGAAGAAAGACCACACCTTCCTGGAGAAATCATCAATAATAGTGAGCATATAAATAGCTCCACCTTTTGAAGCAACTCGAGCTGGTCCCCACAAATCCGAGTGGACATAATCAAGTAGTCCTTTCGTTGTATGGATACCACTTGCAAACCTTACTCGTTTTGCCTTGCCATATACACAGTCTTCACAGAAATCCAAATCAACAATCTTTTGTTGACCAAGTAAACCTCTTCGACTCAATTCTAACATGCCTTGAAAACTCATATGGCCGAGTCGAAGGTGCCAAAGACGGGACTGATCTGGATCAGAAAGAGACTTTGAAACAACAGCAGCATCACTCGAAATTGTTTGCCCGTCAAGAAAGTAAAGATCTGAGGTTTTTCGTTTGGCTCTCAGTTTGTCGGAACCGTCTTTGAATACCCTGAGAACTCCACCTTTACCAGCAAACTTGTATCCCTTTTTGTCAAAGGAACTGAGAGATAACAAGTTTCTTCTGAGGTCAGGAACATATCTAACATCCCCCATGGTTCGAATAACTCCGTCAAACATACGGATCCTGACTGAACCATGTCCAAGAACTGGACATGTAGTATTGTTACCCATCAACACATAGCCCTGGTTAACCTTTTCAAATGTGTAAAACCAACTTTTGTTGTGACACATATGAAAAGTACAACCAGAGTCGAGTATCCAATCACCAGTGGAATCCAGTTTATCTGAATAAACTGTCAAAAGTTCTCCAATACCTTCAACCTCAGCTACATCGGCTTCACCCGAAGTGCTAGCTTGTTTGCCATTTGCTGCCGTCTTCTCTTTTTCTTTATTCTTCAACTTGAAGCATTCTTCAAGCACATGTCCCTTCTTGTGACAATAGTTGCAAAACTTTCGTTTGCCTTTTGACTTGGATATGGTTCTGTTGGAAGATTGAAAAGTTCTACTTCTCTCTGTTGTTCTTCCTCTGGCATTCAAACCTTCGGCTTTAGCATCACTTGAACCACCACCAGTAATATGCTTCATCTTCTCTTTGGAATCCAAAGCTGTATAGACTTCATCTAAAACTAGAGTGTCACGGCTATAGATAATAGTATCACGAAAATGGCTATAGGATTCTGGCAACGACGATAGTAAGAATATAGCCAAGTCTTCATCTTCATACTGAACATCCATATTCTCTAAGTTATTTACTAACTCTTTAAATGTGGATATATGTTCAGTTAGAGAGCCTCCTTCAATCATCTTGAGATTGAACAACCGTTGCTTCAAATGCAACTTATTTGGTAAGCTCTTGGTCATCAACAGTTGCTCCAACTTTAGCCATAAAGAAGTCGCTGACGTTTCTTTTAGAACATCTTGCAAAACATCGTTTGACAAGTGCAAACGAATCTGGGATAAAGCCTTCAGATCTTTCATCTCCTTTTCTTTTTCGGTCCATGTATCGGGCATCTTATTGAAACCCAAGAGCGCCTTGTGTAAATCCATCTGAATGAGAATGTCTCTCATCTTTACTTGCCACAACGGAAATCGGGTGTTACGATCCAGTAGTGGAATATCGTATTTTACCGAAGACATGATTAATTACTTGATAAAATGATCCCAACGAGCTAATATCACAACCCGGAAGCTCTGATACCAAATTGTTGTAAAATACGACGGATCCAAATTGACTTAAATAATATTAGCTCAATGCGGAATGGGATCAAAAATTATCAAAGCGTAATAATCACAACGAAATACGAATACAATAAATAGAATAGAGACACAAGAATTTACGTGGAAACCCAAATCGGGAAAAAACCACGGGCGGAGGAAGCCGAGAAACAATTCACTATAATTTACAGTGTTTACAGGGATTATGAAAGAGATTACAAATAGAATGGGAGAGCTAAAATATACGGTGGTGTATATATATATATATAATATATATATATATATATATATATATATATATATATATTATATATATATATATTTGATTGTGGTTCGTGGGGTTATGTTGTAATGAAATGGGTTAGGCTATTTATAGCCAAAGGAATACTAAACGATTTGAACTACATATGCCGTCCAAAGAATTTGCGCCTACCAAATTAGAATAACAAATAGATATATATTACTATTTATGGTCAAAAGGTTGGCAATGTGAGGCGCCTCCATTTATGACCAAAATTGCTGCGCCTCCATCTTCTAATTCATATATATTAGTCAAAGTCTCCGTCCATTATTATTTCACATTTCTTATATATTACTATTCATAGTCAAACTATGAATAGTAAATGACAAGTTACGGAAATAACCCCTGAACTATTTGCCACTTGCTAATTTTGGAGGCAACTTTTCCACACAAAATGTAGAAACCCTACACACAATTTTCAAAGAAGCAAATCCCGCCTTTTTTGCTAAAGTATTATATTCTTTTAACGTTCGCTCTTTTCCACCGGGATTAGCAATCATCATTATCATATCACTACTGATGACAGCCTTAGAAACATCGATATCGATGTTGGTCGTATGATCACTTGGTTGATTTTCAAGGTCGGGGATGATCGCTTCCACCGCCACGACCTTACCGGACTCTGGCAATGCCGCCCAACAGTTCTTTAGAACAGTGATGCATTCGTTGTCGCCCCAATCATGAAGTATCCACTAAAAAATGTTCATACATCACCATTATCTAATAGCGAGAAATATTATCATTAATTTAAACCAAGGTTTATTTAAAAAAAGTTGATGCATGTATGATGTATCAACCTTCAATTCATGAATATTACATCTCCTGTAGGAATACTTTCGAACATATCTCCTCCAACACCTATCCATAATATATGACGAGAAACCATGTCAATAAAGTTGTATAATTATAATGTATGTATATGTATGAAAATTGATACCTAGTGAAGAAGTTGCATCCTTGATGACATGGGGTAGATCAAAGTTGATGCCCTTAATGTTCGGGTTCTTTGAGACAATGATGTGATCAAGGTTAGCACCTAAACCACCACCCACATCTACCAACTGTTTTACGCCTTCAAATCCTTTGTACTTTCCAAGAAACATCTTCATGACTATTGTTGTGTTGTCATACATGCACTTGTTGAACACTTGATTGAATCTGTTGTCTTTTGCAGGGTACTCAAAAGCATGGACTCCATGGGCCCTGTTAAATGGGATCCCTCCATTGGCGACTGCATCTTTCAGGTAATACTGACCCAAAACAAATTATTTATATATCTATGAAGATCAAACTCGTGAACTTAGTTTTATATCATGAATTAAGTCATGCTATGATTATTTGAACAAGTCTAGATGGATTTGTTTGCGTGTGTTGAAGAAAATATCACTGAAAGCGGAATAGAGGTTAATGGTGTTTCCATTTTGATTCTTGAAATTAATTTGGTGATTTGTGTTATGATCATTCGGTTCTTTAGGCCTTTCGGAATGGGCACCACGAGCCATTCGTGATGATGAGCTCACCATATTCGTGAACACCACCCTGGTGCAATGTGGTGGATTGTGGTGTTGTAGAATGTGATCACCATCACAACCACAATTGACCACAACGAATTACTCTCTCTCTCTCTCTCTCTCTATTTGATTAAAAAATATATATTTTTATTTAAATAATAATAAAAAAGAATATAGTAATGTGGAGTGGTGTGTATATCAAAGAGTTATTGAAATAAAAGTCCTTAAGTTTGTCAAGTTTTATCGGTTTTGTTCGTGTGACGACTTTTTGTTCATTTATATCCTTAAGTTTTCCTAGTTTTTTCATTTTTGCCTTTTTTTTAATCTGTAATAACAGGTTTCTAGGTTATCATAAAATATTATATATTTGCAAAAAGCCCTTAAGTTTACAAATATTTTGCAAAAATCCCTTAAATTTACAAATATTTTACGTATTTACATATAGTATATTGTTTTTCATATTATATGAATTAAGGTTTTTTTTTTTGAACGGCTGAATGCAATAAAAAACCACACTCTAACAGGGAGCTAGAGCAAAAACGAACCAAATACATCAAGTTTAAAAGAGGAATTTGATGACATAGATGTGTCTTTTAGTTGGATAGAATATTTGATGACATAGATGTGTTTTTTAGTTGGATAGTTCATAGGAAGCATAAGTCCCAATTTAAATGGAACGATTATCTTCAAATCCTCTTTTAAACTTGATGTATTTAGTTCGTTTTTGGTCTAGCTCCTTGTAAAAGTGGTTTTTTTTAATGCATTCAGCCGTTCAAAAAAAACCCCTTAAAATGTAAAATATTTGTAAATTTAAAGGCTTTTTGCATATAATATTTTATGTTAACTTTGAAGCATGCTATTACAAGTGTAAAAAAATAAAAAATAAATTGGAAAACTTAAGGACATAAACGAACAAAAAATCATGATAGAGACAAAACCGACAAAATTTAATAAACTTAATGACTTTAATGTCAATAACCCTATACCAAACTCATGTGATAGTCAGTGACATGACAGCCTATGATTTATAGGTTAATGATAAATATACCGAATGACCTTATAAAAATTAGTCAACCGAACATAATCATTTTTATACATATTAATTATTTAAATTTATAGAAAAGCATATATTAATTATAAAAAACATACTAAAATTTGTCAAAATTTCTTTATAAGAAGTGCAAAATGTTGGTGTATGCAATGTTATTTTATCCTTTATCAATTTATTCAACACAATGGGTTTTTAGACATAAAAAAAAGTTTGATGAGGACCAAAATATTCAACTTTATACCTATGATATGTAAACAACAATATTTCACCTTTTTTGCTTTTTATGCAACAAGATTTCATCTTTTTTACTTATTTAATTATTCACTTTTATTTTTCGTATCCGTTTATGCAGCAAACATGAATCATTAATTAACCCCATTTGATCAAATGGTTTACCATGATAATTACACGTAAAGTGTTACATATTTTGTTTAACTACACATTAAGCATGCAAGTTGACAAAATTACATATAAGATGCAAATATAGATAACTGACCAACAATCGACAAATATATTATCATAGATCAGGAGAATTGATGAAGCAAGAGAAGTCCCGTCTTGATTACGAACATAGTTATTCGACAGTGGGGTCATGCCATATAAATTCTTAGAATTACCACTTTCATCGGTCACAAGGGTTGATGTGAGAATGGATTGGCTAGCAAGAAACCTAAGGATCCGTTCAGTTAAATCAGGGGTGTCGGGTTTTCGTGTAGGAAGACTAGAAGCAAGATCAAGAGAAGAGAATTGGGCATTAGGAGTCTTTGCCATGATCTCAAAGAGATCAAGTTAAATGGCAGTTTTGATGACCATGGGAAGAGCTATTGCCCCATTTATTTGCATACTTGTAGCATCCCTTCCTCTTCAGTTGACATATGCTGTAATCTTCTTCTAGTGACTCCATGATTGAACTTACTGGTGAATCTTTGCTATGAACGAGATACTATATGTACGCATAATATTTGGTATGCCTTCGTTGTAATATTCAAATAAAATTACAGTTTGATTTAACATCTTAACAAAAAATAAAAGTTTGTACTTTTCAATGATATATATAGTATGTATGTACGTATTGGGTAGAGTAACTGAGTGAGGAATGACTAAGAGCAGTCGGGTGTATTGATAAAACCATTAAACCAAAGACGATTAGAGTTTGGAAAGAAACCAAACGATGATACGTACTTTGATGCGTCCACGCAAACGTGGGTTTAACACTTGCACTAAACTACCCACACAAGGGAGATTAATTAAAATCCCTTAGGTTTGACGGTTTTTACTCGTTTTATCTAATAATCTATAGGAAAATGTCTTAAAAGCCTTTTATGTTTGGCAGCTTTTCGATTTTACAACATCATCCTTTTTTGTATATTTTTTTGCATAAAAGTATGAAAGTTGCAAAGTTTTCTTTATACTTGACATTTATCAAGTAAACATTGTGTTAGTCGGTTACCATGCCATGGCCACGTAACAGGGCACGTGAGCGCTGACTAGGCTTTTTTTGCACTTCAACGTATTTTTCTTTTGCATTTTGAGCTACGTAAAAAAGCAAAATATAAGGACCAAACAAGCAGAGTATCGCCGGCATCCAGAGGAATACTTTATTGACGTTACATTATTGGTAGGGACCCTATAAGTTGTAACATCCAAAAATCCTTTAATCGCTATGTTGTTGGCAAGTGATCGAGATTATGGTTTGTGTAGCTGGTTACTTGATTTTTCGTTTAAATACTGAATACATCAAAACCTAGCGTTAAATGAGATGAATGTTAGGGGAATTGCTGTAGAATCCTGTAATCGATCGGAACTGGATTAGCCGATTAGGGTGCAAGGGAGATTTGTCATAACGATGTAAATTTCAGATAAACCCGATTTGCCTACATGAGTTGCTTTGTTTTCCTCATAGATGGAATCGAATGTTGAAATTTGAGTTATAAATCTTACGATTTTATTCTCTTTGAACATCACATAAGCTCATTAATAGATTTGCTACATAACATAAGTTTGATATCATCAAAGCAAAGCACCCTTTAGCAATTACGACCTAAATCTTCTTGTAGAATTCCATAATCGAATAGAAACTAACTCTGCAAACAATTTTTGAAGAAACAAATCCCGATTCTGTAGCCAATGCCTCGTATTCTTTAGCAGTCCTCTCTTTCCCACCAGGGTTTATAGCCAACATCACCATATCACCATCAAGATTAGACATAACAACATCAGTTTCACCATTATTATTTGTTGGTTGTTCATCTGGGACAACAGTTTCTAACACCACCACCTTACCATCCTCTGGCAACGCCATCCAACAGTTTTCAATAGCTTCATGCAGTAATCATCACCCCAATCATGTAATATCCACTGTAATTTCTCATGCATAGTCATTTATTCAAATATGTATATGTATATATTAAAGTGCAAAATAATATCTTTTGATGTACATATGCACTAACCTTCATAAAGATTACATCTCCTTCAGGAACACTCTGAAACATGTCTCCTCCAACATGTTCCACTCCTATTAGCATCAAGAAACAATCTTTAATCTAGAATTGTAGATGCCCAATTTAAGGAAATAGATTCTGATTTTTAATTACCTGGACAAATTAGAGGTGCATCTTTGATGACATGGGGCATATCAAAGTTGATGCCTTTAATGTTAGGGTATTTGGAAAGAATAATCCCAAGTGTTGCTCCTAAACCACCACCCACATCCACTAGTTTTTCCACCCCTGAGAATCCCTTGTACTTTTCAAGAACCATTTTCATGAGTATAACAGTGTTTCCAAACATAGCCTTGTCGAAAAGTTTACCAAATCTTTTGTCTTTTGCTTGGTATTCGAATATATTCTCCCCATGGGCCTTGTTGAATGGGGTTCCTCCTTCAAGCACTGCATCCTTTAAGTGATGCCAAGAATCAATGACAACTTTGTCATTTTGGAATAGAAAGAAGTTAGCAAAAGAAGCCCCTTCTTCATTGCTAACAAAATACTTGCATATCGGTGTCATGGCATATAATTTCTTAGTGACTCCGTTTTCATCAGTGCAGAATTTAGATGTAAGAATCGATTTGGTAGCAAGATACCGAAGTATTCTTTCGATTATGATTGGGGTTTGTGGGTTTTGTGTAGGAAGACACGAAACGATATCTGATGAAGTGAATTGACCACAATGCCCATGGTTAGTAAGTTTGACCATGATTTCAAAAAGATCAAGTTCTATAGCAGTTTTCATGACCATAGGAAGAACTGTGCCTGCTACCATTTGCATAACTCTTAGTAATTCTTCCTCTTCGTTCATGTTCATGTTCATCACTAAATCTTTGTTCTTTGAATTCTGAGCCTCCAAAATATGGTAGTGTATATATATATATATATATATATATATATATATATATATATATATATATATATATATATATATATATATATATATATATAGTTTCTTGATCCATGCCTATGTTTTTTTAGCCTAACTTAAACAACCTGTATATATGCCTTCTTTAACCAAACCACAGGCTTTGTGTGAACTCAACCTAATTTTGAAGATTTGCAGCCAAATTGAAGATTTATACACAACATAGAGGGGGTAAAATGTAAAAATGGTTAAAATGGATCAAAATAGCTTCAAAAAGCCACATATCCTTGCTTTGGGCCGGACCTTCCATCTCACTAAGCTATAAGATTATATACTTTTCATAGTTTCTTACTTTGGTAGTTTAATTGTTTAAAGGTTGATGTCATAAATGAGTAACCAACTATTTGAAATGTTTAAAAATACAAATTGCATGTTTAAAAAAAGTACAATCAAAGTATTATGAGGAGGTAAACTTTTTGAGATGTTCAAAAACACCTTTACAATCAAAAGTTAAGCATTTTTGTAGAATTCCACGATCGAAAACAAAGAAACCCTAGAAACAATTTTCAAAGAAGTGAATCCGGCCTCTTTAGCCAAAGCATTGTATTCTTTTATAGTCCGCTCTTTGCCACCAGGGTTAGCAATCAACATTATCATATCACTACCAATGGCCGCCTTAGAAACATCATTCTTGGTAGTATCACCGTCGGGGATGATCGCTTCCACTATCACCACCTTACCGGACTCTGGCAATGCCGCCCAACAGCTCTTTAGAACCGTGATGCAATAACTGTCGCCCCAATCATGAAGTATCCACTAAAAAACAAAATTCATCGCATTATTTAACAGATGAAAAAATCATTTATGCCGAAGTTTATTAATAAAAAAAATTATGTAATTATGTATGATGTATCAAAAACCTTCATGAATATAACATCTCCTTTAGGAACACTTTGGAACATATCTCCCCCGACATGCTCCACACCTAGAGAACCAAAAGATTTAGGTACAAAAACAATTGTTAGGGACGGAAATGGTCAAAAGTAAAATTCTAGGGGACCATATCTGTGAAAGTCAAGAAACCGCAGGGATGAAAAATGTAATTAATTGATACCTGGAGAAGAAGGTGCATCCTTGATGACATGGGGGAGATCAAAGTTGATGCCCTTAATAGTAGGGTAGTTTGAGACGATGATCTCAAGGTTAGCACCTAAACCACCACCTACATCAACCAACTGTTTTACGCCTTCAAATCCTTTGTATTTTCCAAGAATCATCTTCATCACTATTGTTGTGTTGTCATACATGCATTTGTTGAATACTTGATTGAATCTGTTGTCCATGGAAGGGTACTCAAATGCATTCACTCCATGGGCCTTGTTAAATGGAATCCCTCCCTCCACCACTGCATCTTTCAGGTGAAACCTGTCCCAAAACATATAATCATTTATATGTAACATTCAAACAGACAAACACTTAACCAAACACAATCATCTTTATGCATATTGAAAACAAATTATAAATGGGTTAAATTAAATGAAGATAAGATAGATAGAGATGATAAAGGTAAAGTAATCTAATCCTATGTCAAATACCAAAGATAAATACAAGAAAAGAGGATAATGTACGTAATGAATACTAACAAGTAAATATATACTATATGCTTTTATAATTAAAGATAGAAAAAGAAAACTAACCAACAATCGATGAGGATTTTATCATAGATAAGGAGAACCGTTGAAGCATGAGAAGTCCCGTCTGGATTGCGCACATAGTTATTTGACAATGGCGTCATGCCATATAAATTCTTAGAATTCCCAATTTCATCTGTAACGAGGGTTGATGTGAGAATGGATTGGCTAGCAAGAAATCGAAGAAGTCGTTCAATTAAACCAGGGGTTTCTGGGGTTTGTGTAGGAAGACTAGAAGCAAGATCAAGAGAAGAGAATTGGGCATTAGGAGTCTTTGCCATGATCTCAAACAGATCAAGTTCAATGGCAGTTTTGATGACCATGGGAAGAGCTATTGCCCCATTTATTTGCATCACTTTTAGCAGCCCTTCCTCTTCAGTTGACATGCTGTAATCTTCTTCTAATGACTCCATGATCGATCAACCTTTCCTTTGCTTTGCTATGGATGAGAACCTATACACACACAAACATATATATACACACACACATGCACAAATATTCTTTCCAACTGTCGTACACATGGGTATGGACCTACTTCTAACTTAACAATGGGTATTTAGGTTCATGAAAAAAAAATTCCTTTTTGGTGTTATAAAGAACTTTTAAGTTTAACGATGATGAATTAATACTGATCAGAATTTAATATTGTAGCAATATTATACGGGCAAACCGGAGTTAAAAATCTTTGAAAAGATCTACGTACGTATATATAGGTACTAGGTGTGAATCCCGTGTACTACACGGGTTGTTTAAAAAAAATTATATATGAAGATATAAACTTTAAATATTTTTTTAAAGAAAACATTAAATATCAATAAAAAACAACAAAGTATGATTTTTTTTTATATAGACCATTTTGCCTAATGAACTAAAAAAACATGTCAATTTTGAATTATATATATTGAAGGAACATTTTAAAATTTGAAAATATAGGGAAACAAATTAATGACACATTAATTACTTTCTATAACCTAAAAATTAGATAGTTAATTAAGAAAATAAAAAATTACCACAAAATGACAAGTGAAAATTAATTTCTAAGAATTAACCACAAAATTACATGTGTCCAAATGCATAAGAAATTGACAAGTGGCAAAAAGTTCTTTATTTATTAGGGAGGATATGAAATTTCTCTTTCGTGCTATAACTAATAAACAACTACTAACGATGATAAATACTCAGAATTTTTTATTTTTATTTTTTTGTCACAATATGGCAAACCTAAGTTAAAAATCTTTTATCTGTGGTCGTTTGAGTATATATATATATATATATATATATATATATATATATATATATAATATATATATATTAAGTTAGCGTTTAATTTAGAGCATATATATTAACAACAATGTTTGTATTTATATACTAGGATCGTTTTGTTGTACGTAAATATTCGGTAGAGCTAGTAGCCTAGTAAGTGAGTCAGACAATCGCCAATTGGTGCAACGTTTTCTACAGTGACTACAAGTGTAAAATATTTTGATATTATCAAAGTCAAAATAATAAGATAAACATTGTCTTTTAGAATATAAATAAATAAATAAAGATTATACTTGATTTATGTACTAGCGACCTTTCGGCCGGTTGGTGTTGACTATGTAAAAGAATTAAGAAATCAAATGATGATGCTTTGGTGGGTCTATGGAAACGTGCATTTCACTAACCACGTCTTATTTTTTTTATTATTTTAAGAATGGAATCTCATGTTAGACTTGGGCCGTAAACGAACCAAACGAACACGAACGGGACTTGTTTATGTTCGTTCGTTTAAGTTAACCGAACAAATGAACGAACACGAACGAGTTTTCTTGTTCATGTTCGTTCGTTTAACAAATTACATTGTTTATGTTCGTTCGTTTATGTTCGTAAACATGCTAAATGAACATAAACAAACGAAGATAAACAAATATATATGAACATATAATATAGTAATGTAATCAAACACAATTAAACATATATGAAGATAAAAGGAACTTATATGAACAAACATGAACAAAGGTAAACGAAGAACATCAACGAACGTTCACGAACATAATTGAACGAACGAGATCATTGTTCATGTTCGTTCGTTTAACTAAACGAACGAGAATTTGTGTTCATGTTCGTTCGTTTATTAAATAAACGAACATAAACAAACTTCCCGCCGAACAGTTCGTTGAACGTTCAGTTCGTTTACAGCCCTATGTTAGACCAAAAATGAAGTCTTATTATTTTTATTTTTATTTTAAGAATGGGATCTCATGTTAGACCAAAGACAAAGAGACGTCAGATAACCATATTTCATCCTTACGAAAAAAAACTAAATGACCACTGAATTTGAAAATATGAATTTTCCAATCTTTTTGTTATTAAAAAAATTTGTTTTCTCTGAATTTTTGAATTTCATGATGGGTTTCAACCCAATTTGTGATAAAGGTAGTTTGCAATTCCGAGCAATTTTAACATTATACTTTTATTTGATAGATAAACAAATCAAGACAAGTAAATAAATGTTTTATTATAGTTTTTTGTACCATCTTCGGTTCTTTGGTTCTTTTCGAGTGTGTCCTCGAACGATAATACAAGTGTCCAATTTTCTAAAGAGTAAAGAGGGCTAAATGCAAGAAATATCAATGCACTTCCATTTATTTGTGTGTTTAGCATCTTAGTTTTCATTTTCTTTCTGTTATAACATTGTATGTTTATCTTTTATCTCATTAAGGCATGGTATTCTGAAAATTTTACTCAATATAGCATTCTACTAGTACCATCAAATTTTTTTTCTTATTAAAACTTTATATTTTGAAAAAACTACTCGATACTAACAGTGAAAATTGCTTTGTAATTGAATGGAGTAGATATAATTAGGTAGATTTTTCATGTAATATGATGTAATTGGAAGAAATGGAAATAAGATATTATAATAAACAACTTACAAAAGTATGATGCTATTTCTTGCATCTAACACTAAAGATTCATATGTCTATAATTAATATGACAATTGGTTTCTTAGGTTGCTTTTATTATACACGGGATATAAATGGAATAGACAAGCTTTTTAGAGCTATTTTCGATGATGAGGATTAGGAAGACATTTACATATTTTGCATAAATGAGATATGTAGAACGAGCTCTTGCCTTGTTCTTTCTGCCTTTTTTAGTAGTTCAAAAAAATTGTAGTTATTGTATCATCAACACTGGTCCCGGTTCTAGTCCAAGTCCCTTACACGCCAAACACAAACACATTATAACTTATCATGTCATGCCATCCATAAAAAATAGGGCTTTATACATGCTTTTCAGTGGACGGACAACTGAAAATTTTTTCTTCCATCTCCTTCTCTTGATGAAGGTCGTGTTGGTGCAGTTTTGATTGAAACGACGACCGTTCCCCTACATGAAAGGTGGTAATGGAAAATAAAACTGTCATTATCTGACCTTATGAATAGCAATATTATATTCAAGTTTTCAAGCACTATTGTTACCATTCAATATGGTAATTGTACTTCTAGGTTTTGATGTGTCTATCTGTTCAATTTGTATATTTCCTAAACTGTGACCCAAAATCGAGTATTGATATGTTGTTTATTCTGTAGAGTTAAATAAAAGGGTCTGGCCTAGTGCGCTTTCTTTCAAATTGGGTCATCACAGAGGAGTGGTCCGTAATCAGACTTTATTTGGGCCGGAAAAACTTCATTTGTCTTTTTCTTTATTTATTTTTTTATAATTTTTCATTAATAATGTTATGACAAAACTGCACAAATGGTCCCTGTGGTTAGCTGAAAATTGCACTTTGGTCCAAAAAGGTTTGGACTAGCACCAGAGATCTAAACTTGTCATTTTGTTGCGAGTTTGGTCCAATTTTCTTTGAACCTTTTTATAATGACGATTTTGTCCTTGTATTTTCTTTTTTTCAATTTTTTAATACATAAATAAAAATAAGAAAAAAATATTGTAACACCCCAAAAATTCAAGCCAATTTAAAACTTTTTAAAACATTTTAAACCATTAAGTCATTACAGTTTACTTTCAAAATAATTTAAACATCAGAGTATCCCCAGAATCAATCATGAGAATGTAAGGAGGTGCACGATCACGCCTTCGCCTTCCCGTGATCATCCGAATACCTGAAACAATAATCGATAAATGTAAGCTCGAATGCTTAGTGAGTTACCCCCAAAATACCAACCCATACTAACCAACACAAATATCATATCAATACAAATACAGAATAGCATGCATAATGAGCCTTCAGCCTGACTGGACCGCCTCGCAGGCCTTCAGTCTATCTGGACCGCTCTCCGAGCCTTCGGCACGTCTGGACCGCCTCGTAGGGCGTTCAGCCTATCCGGACCGCTCGCCGGGCCTTCGGTCTGACTATCATACCCTCCTGGGTTTGTAGTCTATCCGGACCGCCCTAGGTATGTTGGCCTTCAGCACAAAGCAGGACCGCCTCAACCCAAACCCCCAATCAAACAAACATGTGCACATACATATCATACGCTAGCATATATAATAGTCAACCGATCTATCAGATCAAATAACATAGCATCATCCTATGCCCAAGATACTGACCTAACCAAGTCACTAACATATGTACAGATAATCATACGGATCTAACAGATCACATAGCATAGCAACATCCTATAACCAGGATACCGACCTAACCACGTCACTAACATATATACAGATAATCATACGGATCTAACAGATCACATAGCATAGCAACATCCTATAACCAGCATACCGACCTAACTAGGTCACTAACATATATACAGATAATCATACGGATCTAACAGATCACATAACATAGCAACATCCTAAAACCAGGATGCAATCATAAAGGGCCGGCCTTGGAGCCGTAGACCCTGTTGATATAGTGAGGAGAACTCACCTGGCACTGCTGAAGTCCCGCAGGTACACTCCAGCTGCTGATTGACAGATTTTCGAACTGTCAACATCAAACAACACCCAATTAATAATTGGGTTTCAAGCTCAAAGTCCAACTCACACTCCAAGAGCCCAAAAGTCAAGTAATAGGCCAAGGCCCAACATATGGCCCAATTTTCCAAATTGGGCCCAGACCTCTACATGGTCTTTCCTTAAGGCACATCCAATTATTCCAGTCCAATTCCTATGGCCCAATATCACATAATCATAAAGGTCCAATTATGGCCCATCTACGGCCCAATTTTCCAAATTGGGCCCAAGTCCTCACATGGGCCTTATCCTAAAACCCATACAATTATTTAGTCCATTTAATTATTCTTGGATGGCCCATTAATAACCCAATTACCAAAACCCAAAAGAAAGGCCCAACTCAAGGCCCAAATGAAATTAGGGTTTTCACATGAAATGACAATTAGGGTTAAGTGTTCCTACTTAACCCATTAAGGACTTAGTCTATTAAGTCCATTGTTGCCTTAAGTTAGTTTGCCAATGATTATTATTTAATATTTCAAGTTATTAAATAATTCTCGTGTGTCCCGGTTAATTCCCCAAATTAGGGTTTTATTGGCATTAGGGTTTTCCAAACCCTAATTAGGGTTTCCAATCCAAATATTAGCCCA